CAGACAAAAGAAGGCTGTGAGCGGAAATCTACTCACAATTGTAAAAGAATATGTAAAATAATTACAGCTTTCGAATGAAGCGGTTACATATTTTGACAAGACCATATTAACAGAATAAATTATTGAACTAATGTAATACTGTAAAAAAGAACAACAGATTATCCAATTAACAGCCACATTTTAGCTGTTAAGGATTTAAAAGGAAGACTTCCACCCCATAACTTAAAGAGACACTGCAGAACCATAAAGCACTTCAGCATGTCTCATTGAGCTGCATTGGGAAGTTTGTGATTGGACAGCCACAGAAAGTCTGGGCGGGGTTAGAAGGGGAGGGCCTGCAAATGCTGCAGACAAGAAATCTGCTACTGTTACAAGCTGTTTTTAGACATACCACCAAATGAAGTGATTCATGTATTTAATTATGCATTATTTCATTCGGGAGATATCTACTAAACAGTGTTTTCTTTTGTATTTGGGCAGTGGAGTGTCCCTTTAAGCTCATTTAAATTCTTATAGGGAAAGGTGTGTTTAGATATGGGCTTTCCTTCAGGGGTTAAACCATTTTACAACAGTTTTATGCCAAGGTTGGGTCTCCAGTGTGAAGTACCTCTGACAGGATATCACTTGGTGCCCATTGGGAGACATAGTATTTAGAGTGCGGAGAGGAAGGAAGACAGAGGCAGAAGTAAGACAGCATTCAGACAATTGTGTGCCAATAATCATTTAAATGAGTTTAAGAGTATGTAATGTTTGTGCCAGACAATGTGCTAGGATGATTTAGGTCTGTGAACAAGTTCAATATAATGTCTATTTTGTGCTGTAGTATCATGGATATTGGTTAAGATTTAGGCAAACAAATTACAGACTTAAAGTGGATCTGTCATATTATATCATTGCATCTGTACCCCTAGTTACCCTCCCACCCATTTTCAGACTCTGGGGCCGGCTTTACTTACTGCTATTAACAGATAGCTGGTTCCCCCATTCTTCTTTCGAGGGACAGCCATCTTTATTTTAAAATATGATGGCAAGCGGGTATGTCAACCATTGCCTATAGCTGTGTGTGCGTGAGAGTCAATATTGAGAACAGTGATGTGCTGCAAGAGGATGTGACACGGCACTGGAGGGTGGTGAGTACTTGAATCAGGGGCCATTGATAAAGTTGACAAAGGCAGTGGAAGTTAGACAATAACTGAATTAATGTGGAGAGGGCCCTGGTGTAAGAATTTTACTCGGCCTCCTTCAAGCGCAGGAATGGTAGATTCCCATCTGTCATATAATTCCCACAATGCTACGCCAGCTGGGGATGTACCATTTACCCATTGCTGCAGAGGTGTATTTGTAATTGTGCGTTTGAATGCAAGCATGTTTTTATATAGAGTATGTGTGTGCATGTAGGAGTTTATTTGTATGTACTGTTGTCATTTGAATGTGGTGGTTTACTTGTGTGTAGTGTTTGCATTTAAATGCAGCAGTTTGAGTGTGTAGTGTTGATCTTTGAATGAAGGGGTATTTGTATTTTCATGAGGCTGATAAGAGCGTGGGGTCTGCATCAGATCTTTACTTCTCTCCCTCTTGCCATATGTGCCGCTGTGGCCTTCTCCTACTCCCACACAGCACTCTTTATATGAAGCAGAGAGGAAGTGACCGGCACTGACGTTGTCCCACTGCTGCCCTTTTAGCAATACCCATTGAGTGGCCCTAAGTGGCCTCCTGGCATGTGGGCCCAAGTGCAGTCACACCGGTGGTAGTTTCGCTGCTGATCTTGAGTAAAGCTCCTCCCTTTGTAAACCTGCTTACTCTACACAAGGAAAAGTAGTCCCTAGTCCATACTTTTCCGTGTGTTTAAAAAAACCATAAACCCCCCCCCCCCAAAAAAAAACCCTTAAAATTAAAGTTAAAGGAAGGGCAAACTAAGAAGGGATCTGAAAAATAAGGTTAACCTCTTAAGAACACAGCTTCAGGAGCTAGACATACACTTAAGGTGTTCAACCGCAATTTTCATTTTTGTTATTTATTGCACTAACATATATACCATTTTTTAAAGGACAAAAGGGGCTCTAATTTGATGTGACCTATACATATATAAATTCTCATTTATTATGAAATAAAAAAACAAACCTATTTTTTCCCCCCAGTTTTGTGCATAATATGTGCAACTTAGGAAAAACAATTTAAAGTAAATTCATTTAGGAGTCTTGATTTACAGAGTACAGAGGATTTCAGTTTATTTTGAAAGCTACAGGTCACAAAATACAAGGAGTAAAATAAAATTTCCATGTGTAACTGTCACGGGAGTCTACCCCAACACGCAGGAAAGAGGAAACCCACAAAAGATCGATCTGAAAGACATTACCAAGCCTTACATTAGCCATAATTAACGTAATATACAACAAGAAACAGGGTCAAGATAAATCAAGGACAGGAATACTCAGAGTCAAGACAAAGCTGGGTCAGGATATCAGAAATCACAAGTGAAATACGAAGCAGAGGTCAGTATTAGAGTTGAGCGGACACCTGGATGTTCGGGTCCGGCGGATTTGGCCGAACTTTGATAAAAAGTCCGGGATGTAGGCTCTAACTTGACCCCGAACCCCATTGAAGTCAATGGGGACCCGAACTTTTGGCCACAATAATGCCTCTAAAAACCTCCTGTAAAAAAGACTAGAGAGCTGCAAAAGGAAGTAAAATGGGGGTAAGAGTAGGACAAGTGCATTGCAAACAAATGTGGATAGGGAAATTACTTAAAATAACAAAAATTAAAAATACAGGGGAGCCATAAAATGGCACTAGATGGAATCTTAGAATTTAGCTTCGGAAGAACATAAATCAAAATCTAAAGCATGGCTGTCAGGAGGATCAACAGAATTATCCATTTGAGAGAGGGTTGGAGTGCAGGGTATTCTCTTTCATTGTTCAAACTGAGCTCAGCTCCTGATGCATGGAGAAAAGGCCTTCACAAGCCTCTGCTATTGTGTACCTAGTTTATACTAAGTGACCCAAAGGTTGAGGAGGCAGTGACCATGGCGGTAGAGGAGGAGGATGAGGTAGCCAACACTGTATTTTAATGTTTTGGGTTTTTTTTGTTTGTTTTTTAATTGTGGTAACCCACAAAATATTGGGACATACAAATAAAGAAACATTTGCGGCCTGCAGTGCATTTCTTGCAGTCCTGATGCATGGAGAAAATGCCTTCACACGCCTCTGCTAATGTGTACCTAGTTTATACTAAGTGACCCATAGGATGAGGAGGCGGTGACCGTGGCGGTGGAGGAGGAAGCAGTGGTGGAGGAGGATGAGGTAGCCAACACTGTATTTTATGTTTTGTTTTTTATTTTTAATTGTGGTAGCCCACAAAATATTGGGACATACAAATAAAGAAACACTTGCAGCCTGCGGTGCATTTCTTCCAGTCCTGATGCATGGAGAAAAAGTCTTCACAAGCCTCTGCTAATCTGTACCTAGTTTATACTAAGTGACCCATAGGTTGAGGAGGTGGTGACCGTGGCGGTGGAGGAGGAAGGAGGAAGATGAGGTAGCCAACACTGTATATATATATATATATATATATATATAAAACAAAAATAGTAATGCACTCCACCTTCCTTGATGTACTTGCCCGGTGCTTATCAGCAAACAGATACAGCCAAAAATACAAGATAGCACTCCAGGGACTTCCAAGTTGAATAAAACTTAGCTTTTATTAGCTCAAAATAAAAATGAACGTTTCAGTCTGTATCACAGACTTTCATCAGGATTTTTATTTATTGATTTATTGATTTTTATTTTGAGCTAATAAAAGCTAAGTTTTATTTATTCAACTTGGAAGTCCCTGGAGTGCTATCTTGTACTTTTGGCTATAATATATATATATATATATATATATATAAAACGAAACGCCTTTTGTCACCGGATTTTCCCCTGGCTGTTGGAGGAGCCTGATTGCCAGCCTCTTGCCTCATGACTATGGCCCTGGGTTATTTGGCCCTTCAAGTACAATATTTGGGCATATTGGATTTGTATGGTGCTGCTGCTGGCCCTTTAAAAACCATCCCTGGACATATTATGACTTTTAGGAACAATGTCCCTTTAAGACTATGTAGCAGATTGCATTCAGGCGGTCTGCAATATTATATATGCTATTATGTGTTCGGTAAATTGGAAATGTGTAGGTTCTATGTGATAAATGTAACAGTATGTATTTTTATGTCTTTTGTTGTCCTTTGTCTGCCATGTGGCTAATGGAGTTTTGCCTCTGTCCTTGGAGATAATTGCATTACTTCTCAATTATCTCCAGAATAGAAGACTCTGAAACCAGTTTGGGCCAGATATCCATGCTGCCAGCCAGGCCCCAAAAGATACTTGTGCTAACTTCTGAACCCCTGGTCTGATTCAGGCCATTTTTTAATATGTTGTTCCCCTGAATGGATTGATTGTGAATATGTAGTTTTATGTGAATGTGATGTATAGTTTTAGAGTTATGAAAGTTGGGTAAAAAGTGTGTTTTAAAATGTGTGGATAATTGGGTTACCTCTGAGGCTAAGGGGAGGAGATGTGTGGGATGTAACCATTGTGTGATTGGTTGTACTGTGTCCCACCCAGTGGGATGTCCCCTTGCATGGGGACCTGCATAAAAGAAGGTTCTTTGTGTGCCAATAAACAGATCATCTTGTACCTTCATGAAGTTTCGGCTCATGTTTGGGGGATTGGAGAAACTACACTCTGGGGATTGCTATAATCACTATACTCCCCAGGGTATAATCACTAAGCTCTGCTAAGAGCTTGTTCCTGTTCCTGCTCTCTGGAATTCGGAGAGAGGTCGACCTGCTGGAAGCTGGACCCTGGTCCTGGGTCCAGAGTGGGTGGAGACGGCGAGACCCCAACCAAGCTGCGGCGGTTCGTGGGGTCTGCAGTGGTTATGGTGTCAGGCAGAGTGCTTGGAGTCCTCGGAAAGCACTAGGAGCATCCGTCGGCGGAAGGTACCCGGTCGGGGTGCCAGCGGTTCCGTTCCGATATATATATATATATATATATATATATATATATATATATATATATATATATATATATATATATATATATATATATAATTTTTTTTTATTTTTTTTTTATTGTGGTAGCCCCCAAAATATTGGGACATATAAAAAAAGACAACTCTGTTCCGTAGAGTAGCTGTTGATATTATAGTTGCGCAGGAACTCTAGGGTACCTCGGACATATCGAACATCCCCGTGGTGGCGACTTTGCATGCAGATGTCATCCATATCAACTTTCGATGCAAGTTTCTGGGCATACCACGGGGAGTCAGGATTCCATTCCGTACAGGGACCCTGAGAAATGGCTACCACATGCAAGGAAGGCAGCAGACATGCAAATGACCCACTCCCGACGCAGGAAGGTAGTGACGACAAATAACAATACAGGACTCTTTAGAGGCCCTATAATTATAATGAGTCCACTTGAAATCCTTTAACTCTGATCAAGTGGAGGGAAGCCTGGTGCAGAGCCACTGACCCATGCATACTGCAGCTGAAACTCCACTATCCCCTGCTGCTGCTTGCAAAGTCTCATGAGGCGGTGAGTGGGAAGGCCGAAGTTACGCTGCAGCGCAGACAGGCGAGCAGCAGCTGGGTAACAACGCCAAAAGCGTGCACAGCCGCTACAGTAAATGTTACATCCTGACAGTGTCTGGGTCCTGGTCACTGGACTGCCCACCTCCATTGTAAAACTACGAATAGATCGTTAAATCTGGTACGAACCAAGTCTATTCTGGATCCTTTGATCGCTACATGTATTACTTGGATAACTGGTAATTCTCAAGCTAATACATGCCGACGAGCACTAGGGGACGGCCACTCAGCTTTTGCACCCTGCTCCCTCTTATGCTTTGCTGGTGCCTCTGTGCCTCTTCCTCCAAACTGCACACGTCACTCGCATGACCTTGATTCCATGTGGGGTCTAGGACCTCATCATCCTCCACATCATCTTCCACCCACTCCTCAACCCTGCCCTCCTTGCCGGTATGCACACTGCAGAAAGCCACAGCAGTTGGCACCTGTGTTTTTCCAGCATGTAAAGTCTGCAAAGGACATATGGAAATTGTTTTAGAATTTCCTCCAGGCAACAGTTTTCCCTATAAACTGACCTCTCAGTTTGACTTGTGAGGGTATTGCCCCAGAATTACAATATTGTTGAAGTACCTCTTAGCTATTAATAACTGGTTTAAATATAGCAGCTTGTTATCTGGTAGTTTCTAGTGTAGAAAATATCAATCTGTTTTCTATCACTTAGATCTGTGTAACAAGTGTTGTAGGTGTGAAACAATATTACAAGTGACCGATGTAGTAAATTCGAATTAAAGTTCCATTTGCAAAAAAAAAATTCTCGCCCATCTTCTGTGGGTTATTGCATTTTTAAGATGTAGACTTATTGTATCACACTACCCATGCACAGGTAGATTGTTTGGTATGTTGTTTTGGTGTTTGCTTTTTAACTTTGTAGTTATGTCTTTACACAATATAGAAACGTATATTAATGCTTCTGTATATGAAGCGATCACAATAACACTTATTTTTCACTTTTTTTTAAATCAGGCTACACAAAAATTGGTAATTAACAATATGACATCTGAAAAGCACATGGAAGGATGCTCTATGATTTTAAAAAAAGAACACCCTACATGAAGGTCCTGTTCACTAGAGTGTGTAGTCATGAATGTAACCAGTAAAACTTTGTTGTTTACAGCCACTGGTTTGCCCATACATATTTTAAATTTGTTTAATTTTGTTGTAACATGACTTGTAGATTTGAAGAGCAGGCCCCAAATGTACTATTTAGCATATTAGCACCCAGAAAATTAGAATTTTTACAAGTGCGCTGTAAGCACACTATTAGACGCTTCTATTTGACTCTCAGATATGAAGTGCACCAGACTAAAATACTATTTAGCAAAAACTGCAATGTGACAGCAGTATATAAAGTGCACCCCACTAATGTACTACCCCACTAATGTACTATTTAGCACCCAAAAAAATTTACTTTTTAAAACTCAGATGTAACCGCGGTATTTGAAGCTTCTATTTGACTCTCAGATATGAAGTGCACCCCACCCCACTAATGTACTAGTTTGCAGAATTCTTTCCTAAGCTGTCCCTATCAGCGGCAGCATCCTCTCCCTACACTAATAAGACCACATGTGCGTGTGGCGCTACGCGACTCCAGCTTATATATAGAGGCTGAGTCACATGCTGCACTGTAGGCATGGCTGTGATGGCTTCTAAGTGCACACGAGTCAAACGCTTGTTGATTGGCTGCCCTGCAGCCTTTCAAAACGCACCATTAAATCGCCAAACACTGAACTCCAACCCGAACATACAGTGATATGTCCGGGTCCGGGGTCCAAAAAACCTAATGTTCAGTACAAACCCGAACTTTTTCGTTTGGGTTTGCTCAACTCTAGTCAGGATACCGGAAAAGACAAGTCAAATACGAAGCCGAGGTCAAACACAGGAAATCACAACGGAATCTCTAGGAGCACTAGACGAGGATCTAACAGAAACCACGATAGGGCAATGAATGGAGGCTTAAAGAAGACTTAAATAGGCTTACCTATGTTCTGATAGGTCTGTGATACAAAACAAATTAGGATTGCAATGATGACGTGGTTACTTTAAGAGTGGGCGTGACGTCACGTCCACATCTATATATAGATGTCCAACTGTGCGGCCGCGTAGTTCGGTCAGACGGTGTGGCAAGAGGAGGTCTGCATGGATTGAGGGAGGCAAGTCTCCCTCAGTGTGCTGGGCGGTTGCTTGGAGCTGTCGGACAGCACGGCAGGAGGGGGTCTGCGCGACTCGGTGGAATGAAAGTAATGCCACAGTAACAATTTTTAGAAGTTGGTATGTATGTCTAATGAGTTTAATAGCCAACACCGAAATCAAAATTGGCACACAAAATGTATATAAAAAGTAAGCATCATACCTAAAAGGTATTTTGGCATTTGTCACATAACCATTTCACCACAAATCTCTGATAAATATTGTAGTAAAATAGTTTTTTTGACAGACATATCAAGTTTTTTTTTTTGTGTATTTTGTAAAGCTGATACATACTATTCCTGTACAAAACAACATATTAAGTTCAGCATCATCTGCGGAGTACAATAATATCCCTCTTTCCTTTTCCACTATTCTGTAAAGCTACATAAGAGACCAGACTATTTCAGTTTCTATGGTTAGAATTTGCATTTATGTATTTGATGGTCCTATGTCTCATTTGTGGGCATTATAGCAGCTTGATTGTTCAAATAACCCCACAAAGGCCTTCCATTTTAGGAAGCAGACACTTCAGGGTATCTTATATGACATATATTGTACATTAACTGGTCACCATTTTTTCACAAATTTCTCAAACTTTGTTGAAATCATATTTTACATACATTTGATATGTATTATAATAAAATCTCCCACATTTTGATCTGTTACACTGGGTACATTGTTTTACTCAGAAGATATATGACCTATTTTGTGAAATATTTCAGTTTTTTTAAGTGTGAATTTTCATAGATGGTGTTGATTGGTCAATGTTCCATTTTGGAGCATTTTAGCAGGCTGCTTATTCAAACTACCCCACAAAGGCATACCATTTCTAAAAGAATACACCCCAGGGTATTTAACTCCTTAAGGACCACAGAAGTGTATCTAGTATGTCTGCAGTATTCCTTAGTACTTACCCGATAGCCGGCATTCCCCCAACAACGATCGGTGTTGCTCCCAACCTGGGGGGACTGCCTTACAGCCCAGACAGTGCCCCCTCAGCAAATTAGGCACCCGCGGGCCATGTGATCGATCTGAAAGAGCAGTCACATGGCCGCAATAGGCGTCCATAGTGCTGCCTGAACTGATAGGCAGTCTCCCTGCATCTGTAAAA